ACGGAATTCGCTTGCTCTTCCTGAAAATATTGAGTCCTAAATTGGTTTCAAGAACAAGCTGCAGCTGAAACAGCTAAAGCAAAGTACGGATAACGATATGCATTGTGCAATGAAAGAAAAAACCATGCGTTTTTCTGAAAATGCTACAGCTGGATAACTGGATTTTCATTCAAAAAAAAATCAAATTTTTCAAAGTGCTATAACTGTTTTTTCCGAATACTATAATTAGGGTTGCAAGATTCAGTGATAAAAAATCGTATTTTTTGAGCCACCTGTTTTTGTCATGATTCACTGCAGAAAGGAGAATCAAAACAGTTTGACATGCTTTGAATTTCATGGCCTCGAAGGTTCAGATTATAAATACTGAAGGCGACAGAAGTTAGAAACCAAGGTAACCCGGAAAAAACTCGGCTTTTTTATGACTGTTGAGAAACCCACATTGCCGCTTTCTTCATCACAAAGTTCGCCATCGTGCACAATATGCTTCAAGCCTTCAATACGGCCAGCAGTAATCAGCGATGAAAGCGAGGATGAAATCATTGACGTAGATTCCGACTTTACGTCCATTTCGGTGACGCCCCTGCAAGCACAACATGTCTGTTAATATAGTTTTCCTTTAAGTACTTCATGACTTTGCAACAAGGAACGAGAATGACTTTTACAGCACAAGAAGCGTAGTGAACTTATTTCGGTAATGCAGCACCTTTGAAAAGAAGTCGTTTCGTGCAATTTTGCTCAAATTTGTTAAATGTTACCTTATGGATTATTAGCGAGCTCGGCGCAGTGGGGAGCAGCGCAATGTTTGTCGAAATCAGTGGTTCGACTGCGCGGAAATGCAGATTTTCTTAAATGGGCTGTGTTATAGAAATCTAGGCACAGTGCAGGTAAAGAACGTACATTTTTCTTCTCAGATGGCATCGAGCACGGGTAGCAACAAGATCGGCATAATAAACTGGCGCAGGTATGGAAACGGAGCGAGCGCAACGCGCGTATGTGTGACACATGCTATAGGTGATTGACTGCAGCTCATCAGATGTAAATTTCGAGTCGTCCCAAAGCACATGGTAACGTGTCGGACGTGAAGTACCCTAAAAACATTTCACTTTTTAAATCAACAAAATTTCGAAACGGCTAAAGCCTTGTCAAATGCTAATAGGACTGCTAAGCTGATAATCTGGTTAGGAGATAAAGCGGACGTAACGACTGCCGAAAGAATGGCCACAGCAAGTGATGCAGTATTGGTCTCAGCAACTTAAAAACTCATCAGCTGCATACTTTGAGAACCAAACAACGAGTTTAAAATGACGTGTTTTTCGGATATTCAATGAACCATTTTATTTTTTGTCAGACGATTTCTGAATCATTTTTACGATTTTGCTGTAGTTCTCGATTTCATGCTAAAGCCCGATAAAAACTAAGATTTACAGATTAGTAATTTCTCCTGGTAGTAGCAAGCAGATAAAAAAAAGTCCCAGCCAAAAAAACCAAAACAAGCGACCTGAATGCCGAAATGTGAGCAAAGATAAAAGTCGAAGCTTTCCGGTGAGACAATTCCCGTATCGACAGTCGTTCCTGGTGGGATATTTTTTGCTTTGCCAACAGCATCCTGCGAATACTTGCAGAACATCCGCGCATGATGTCGCTTCTGGACTACAATGTAGGTGATTGGAGGACGATAATCCGTTGCAAGCATCAAACATGCTGCTCGGATACCTTGCATTTCCTCACGCAGAACCTGCAAGTTGTGATACTTCATAGGATTCACATTGTTTTTAAGTAACGCACATTTCAGGTGAACTCATCAGGAGTGTTATCAGTTATCTAGTATTGTTTAAGACAAACAGCAGCCGATAGGGCAATTTAGGCTTTTCGGAAAGAGTTACAGCACAATGAATTATGTTCCTGCTGCTGACCATTTGACCGATGGTACTTAAGAGAAATGTTTATCGACAAAAGAACACATTCTCTTTTTGCGTTTTTCTTTCCAATTTTGCCTACAAGTGTCGCTTATGGAAAAGCGTTCGTTAATTGCGACACGCATCATGCGTTTTTGTGCCAGTTAATCGGCTGCCCTTAGCACATGGACAGAGAAAACCCCTCTAGAATCTGAGCTCATTAACACTTCCGGTCTGCAAGTTAGCATGCTCCTGTCAAAAATTTCACATACCCGTACATGCAACCCAAGCGTGTCAGAAGTTGGATTTGAAATCTTTGGATTTTATGTGATTGTGGAATATCTCCTAGAAATTTCCGTTTCCTAGCCTTTTTATTTCCCGAATTATTGAATTCACGTCAAATCACACACTCGCCCGTGAGTGTCAGGCGTATTTAGGATCTAAATTTAAAATGTTTGTAGGTGGACGTAGGACACATTCTCAAAATTTCAGTTTTATGCTCTTTTCAATTTCCGGATAGTAAATTTCACGTGGAAACTCCCAGTTGCTGGTACGAGAGATCCAGAAGTATTCGAAAACTGAATTTGAAATCTTTCAATCGTATCTGGGCAGTGGACACTATTTAGCTTTCTAGCTTTTCTGATTCCCTAGTTAGCACTTTTCCGGCCGGAACTTCCACGTATCCGACCCTTCAAGCTGAATAGAATCATTGACAATAATGGCACTGTATATGCAATTAGCAAATTTGGCTAAAATCCATGTTTTATTTTTGAGAACTGTTAACTATACACGTCAGAATTTGTGCATATGTTTCTTACCTCACTAAACTGTCCTTCCGAAACGCCATCACGATAAACAATAATGCGAATAGGCTTCTGATTTGTTGCCTTATAAAAGCCCACAAGGCGTTCACGTACTGCATCCAGCAAATAAACTACCGATTCGCGGCACTTGCGCTGGATTTTGATGTTTGCACCGTAGGACTGCGGATAAAGGTCCAGATTGGCCACAATCTACAGAATTGGTCTTTGAATATAAGGCACTTTTCATTTTGATTTCTTCAACGTGCAGAGATTCTCGACGTATGAGTGCATATGCTGCGCACTTCACTGCTGTATGTGTACAGGAACGTGTACTTTCCATACCTATCCATTTTGGTCAGAATACTACAACGACATGATGCATGCACATTGGATAATGCGGTGGGTATTAAGCAGCGCTATGTAGTCCTGGATCAAGGATTTGGCACAGCTGCTTTGGCACGCTGGAGCGCCCAAGAAGCATTTTTAATATGGAATACCCAGTTTTGACAATAGAAATTTCATTCCACTTTACAAATCAAACATTCTACTTTTTAGTTACTATTTTTAGGTTTCTTATTCCATTAGTTTATAAGTATAGCTTATTCGGTGTATTAATTGCTAAAATTTAAATCACATTTTTATGTTAGTGGTAACATACAGCTGCAACAGACGGGATATTCTGGCGCTCTTCTTGTTGCGTGGGATGCGTGACATCGATACCGATGATAAGCGTGGGAACATCGATCAAATACTTGCGTGTGATCGAGTCAGCAACAACACGTGAATTAATCCCACCAAGCTTCATGTTCAGTTTCAGGATGAGGTTGCAGCAAGTGACCGGTGACGGGCGACTTACGCTTTTCATCAACACGCACTGCGACATTATTCCATGTACCATGTCGCTGCATTCCTTCACCGTCACTGGAAACGTTTGTTTTTACGTCAACCAGTTTTTATGCGTTTTTTGCAGCAATGCAATGCAAAAACGCATATTGACGAGAGGTTGTCTGTGTGTCCGTGTGTCTGTGTGCCTGCGTGTCTGTGTGTCTGTGTGTGCGTCTGTCACGCACTTTCATGTCCGGACCTATAAAAGCATTTTTTTGGAAACTTAATCTACATGCACGTACCGCCCCCAATCCCCAAAATGGGCGCCAAAACTCGCGTGGTACCCGCGAAGGGGCCCTCAAAGTTTTTTTGGGGTCAGCTCATAACTCGAGGATCTGAGAAGCTAGAAGGCTGAAACCTTGGGG